AGTGAAAGACTTTAGCCTTCTGAAATTACTAACTCTTCTGTATGAAATGTGAGCACACATTTAAAAATGCAGGGTAGAGCATAACACTGTAACATGTTATTGCTACGTGATATTGCTGCAGGAATAAGCACCTTCTTGGGGCAAGTTAATTTTATCATTCACCACTGAGGGGTGCTGTAACCTAGGAAAAGGTTAATGCAGTGTCTCAAAGTTACTTTAACATTTTTCCATAATTTTACAATATTCATTTCATCAACTCTCATGTACATTTAAAATTAATGTAATAAGCATACCCCAATTCTCTTTGGAGACTTTCTAAAGAATAAGAAGACTCATTATGTCTATATAATCATATAGAAGGATCCTTATCCTACTCCCATGCTTTTCATCCATAACACCTAACATACTATCTATCTATCTATATGCCACAGCCACATATTTAATCTTTAATTATTTTATCTAACATACTATATATTTTGCACATTTATTTTTATTTTCAGGTGTGTATGGGCAGGGTCATAGGTTCCATGAGGAAGAGATTTGTTATGTTTTATGCCTACTTTATTTCCAGTGTCTAGAACACTGCCTAGGACTCATGCTATGTGACTAGATACTGCTGGATGGATAAATGAATGAATGAATAAATAGTGTTCACATATTTGAAAAATTAAAAAGACCTTATTAGATAATGTCAAGTAAAGCAAATTGCTACTATCTACTACACAAAGTGAAATGTCTGGCAATACTGAAATAAGCACTATCTGAAAATGTTTAAGACCAATTCATTAATACTGTGGATGGTTATAAAGACAGATTTCATGAGATTGTCTTTTTAAATATACACTTGAATAGGATGCCTCTTAAATGATCTGACTGGAATGGGAGCTGGACAATTAAATGGTAAATAAATATTGATACCAAAGAAACTGAATTTTGTTCAGTACCTGTTAAAGTGTTTCAACAGTTTTAATGGGCTCTCATTTGAATATAACGTTGTTAGTATTTTTTATTTTCTCATGGAATCAAGACCCATAATATATCATTAGTGAATTGTAATTTCTTTTAAATGAAATTAATACTTAAAAAAGGACAGAGATGCACCTTGAATGTAAAATCCTTCCAGTCTTTTGCAAGTATGTTACCTGTAGCACATTTGACAGTAGTTCTTTAGCAATTCATTTTTTTCCTTAAGTTTATTGTTATTTTTTAGGTACACAGTACAGTTACATTCATCATTGGGATTTTGTACCTTTACATGATGTATCTTGGTTCTTACTTTTTCCCCATACCCCCCTGCCCTCTCTTCACCCCCTCTACCCTTCCCTGTTTACAAAGACTTTGTTTCCATTTTTTCCTTTTCTCATATTTTTTCTTTTCCCTTCTTTCCTTTCCATTTCTTTCCCATTTCTTCCTATTTCACATTATTAATTATACCTTAATTAGAGGCCAAACCAATAAAAAGATGAATAAGATGTAATTTTTCCATTATATCCCAAACAGAATATATATAGTATATACATAATTTGATTTCAAAGGCACAATTTAACAAAAGTGTTTCTTACAAATAATTCTTCTACTAGTTATCATCTCAAAACTCTTAAATAACTATTTAATTTCCTTAAAGCAACATTTCTACCAACAAAATGCTCATGTAGCTTAATACTATGTACATTAATTTGAACCTTATTTACACTTTGGGTTTTCAATTCACTTTTAACAACTCTTTCTAAAGGACTGGATAGTTCATGAAGTAATCTTTCAAACTGATTTCATCAAACTATGAAATACCTCAATAAGTTATATAACTGCCGTAACAGTTCAACAGCATCAAGAGGTTTGGTAAGGGATCAAATCTCATTTACAATTTACTGATGAAAACACAACTGTGTAGATGTGTGCCAGAGAATTGCCTACCAAAAGGTGACATATATGAGCTTAAAGCTAGGATGTTTTAGAGACAAAACAGAGTATAAGATCCAAGTAATATGATTAGTTGATCAGAAGGGCTTCAACTGTAATGGCATATGGATCCTTCACATACTATCTCATAGCCACTATGGCCTACTTTTTAATTTTTTTTTTTTTTCATATAGCTGATGGCTTCTACTAATGTAATTTCTCTTCAAATGAATGATCCTGGGCCAGGGATTTAGCTCAGTGGTGCCACCACCCGCCCTGCAAGTACAAGGTCCCAAATTCAATCCCTAATACCAAAAAAAAAGCTTAATGGGGCTGAGATTTAGCTCAGTGTTACAGTATTTGCTTAGCATGTGCAAGGCCCTGGGTTTAATCTTCAACACCAGAGGAAGAATAAAGAAAAAAAGCATAATGACAGCTGAGAATCTACAAAAACACAGAGTTCTTTTGAAAACAACAGTGGAGTAAGGTTTCACTATTACTTGATTACAGAGTAAATTTTATTTCTAGTAATGTTTCAATTAAAATATTGGCTTAAGAAAGTAAACAATACAAAAAAGATTAAAAATATCTACTATCTTTAAAAATTTCTGTAAATGCAATATATTAATAAGTGTTTGGAGAAAAACAACGCTGAAATAATCTTATTTTTTCACTTTTCTCCTATTTTCAGTTTCAATTTCTAGCAACTTCAACCATTTGAGTAATAAATAGGAAAATTAGCAAAATAACCTTCTAAGCTTATGTAAATATATTTTACTTAGCAAAGACTATAAATATGCTTCTTCACTTCAAAAACATACTCTAATTGAAAAGGATAATCCAAAATACACCTCTTTAACTCATGATCCATTTGTTTCACCATTTTATTTTAAATTTTAATATATCTTCACTGACCTTTAAAATACCTTTACAAAATATGTAATAAAGATTTAAGAAAAATATCTTTCCAAACTCCACAGACTAAAAGTCAAATCTAATATGTAACTAATAGCTTTTTTTCCCTTGAAACATTCCACAAATTAGATGGGTTTTAACCCATTTTTCAGAAATTTGGAACTGCTGCATCTTTACCTTAAAATTAATTATTAATAAGAACACCTCTCTAAACAAATATAAACATTTTTAAGTATTTTTGCCATTAATTACAACTCAAGTTTAACTGGTTAATTCCTTAGTAAATATCAAGTTCACCACTTCAGACGTATAACAGACCAGTACTGAAAACTGGAAGAAATTCTTAATATAAGAATTAAGGCTATTTAATAGAAAAACCACATCTTCTTTATCCAGTTTCCAACTGATGGGCAAATGGACTGTTTCTAAGTTTCAGCTATTACAATGGAACACTACTTAGCCATAAAGAATGAGAAATTAGACTCATTCATAGGAAAATAGATACATATTGAGGATATACTCCTAAGTGAAATAAATAAGTCACACATGTATAAATACCAAATAGTTTCTCTGGTGTGAAAAACTATAATAGTAGATAAGATCCTAATGAGATAATTGACCATGTGAAATAGGAAGAAAAGGGCTAAAGGTGTAGGGAAAGTGGGAAGGGTAGGGAAAGGTAACAAAGGAAAAAAAAATATGAGAAAACGAAAAAATGGAAATAAAGTGTTTGTAAATGGAGAGGGGAGGAGGGGGCGAAGAAAGAGCAGGGACAAGGGGAAAAAATGAGAACCAAGACCTGTCATGTAAAGGTACAAGATCCCAATGATGAATGTAACTATACTGTATACCTAAAATGTACCAATAAACTCAAAAAAAATAAAATTAAGGCTAGCTTTTGAGTCTATAATCAATTTCAACAAGTCTGTTTACAGTTTCTTCTTTAAACCTTAATTACTACTATGATGCTCAAATCTATCACTGCAAAAATTCCAAAATTGTTAACATATATGAAACTTTAACATAAGGATAATGACTGACATATATCAATCACAATTTTCCTATTGTGTTTGGATTTGATCTTGCTTCTGGCTCTTTAGGCCCAAAACTGGATCAAAGTTACTACTAAAAAGTATAAGAATCCTTTTATCACTGAGATACAAAACAAAGTAAGGTACAGAAAGGAAAAATATGATGCAAAGTATGTTGTGAGTCTGTTACAAGGATGTTTTACAAATTTAATGACCATAATGACGACAACAACACTAAAAGCTAATGTTAACTGAGGATTACTGAATCTTTACAACTCTATAATTTTATGCCTAAGAAATTTTAAAATGTGCCTATGATCACAGAGCTTATAACTAGAAGAACTAGGACTTCAAATCAGGTCTATCTGAACTGAGAGCCCATACTCTGTTTTGGAGATAGAGTTTCACTATGGTGCTTATGATAGTACTCATGGACTCAAACAATCCTCCTGCTTCAGCCTCCCAAGTAGCTAGGACTATATACATGTGCTGCCACACCCAGCCAGAGCCCATACTCATAATTACTGTATTTCAGTGCCTGTCTTTTCTAATTTCCAATCAATAAATATTTACTAAAAATGTAGTATGTGCTTGTTACTCATTTGGGATTCCAGAATATGAAAATTAATTGAAGTATTGACCTACAGTTTTATCAACCCAAATGAAGAGTTAAAGCATATACTTCATTTTTAAAGATTTTAAGGTCATTCATGATTTCACTCAACAAATATTTAAATGAGTGCATGCTATATGAGAAGCACCACAGTAGAGGCCAAACCAATAAAAAGATGAATAAGATGTAATTTTACCATTATATCCCAAACAGAATATATACAGTATATACATAATTTGATTTCAAAGGCACAATTTAACAAAAGTGTTTCTTACAAATAATTCTTCTACTAGTTATCATCTCAAAACTCTTAAATAACTATTTAATTTCCTTAAAGCAACATTTCTACCAACAAAATGCTCATGTAGCTTAATACTATGTACATACATATATACATATATATATATATGTATATATGTGTATATATATGTATATATATGTATATGTATATACATATATACATATATATATGTATATATGTATATGTATATATGTATAAAGTAAAAAAAAGCTAAAGGTAAAGAAATGTGCCATTAGCTTACATTTTCTATGACAAATGTCCATTCTTTATCTTCAAACTCCTCTGCATGAGGATCCTACAACAAAGACAAAATACGAAATATATGTCTTTAGCCTATCAACTGAAGTAAGAAAATATAAAACAGCTTTATTTTTAGCTTTTACCAACTTTTTATGGGGGGAGAACAAAATTAAAATAGCCTGCCTTATATGATAACAATCATAATTTCACAATAACAATCATAATTTCACAAAACTTCAATCAGTATTATATAGTAAAAGATTCTCTACTTTTGTTGAGACATAGTTTTCATTACTATATCTATGACAAGACAAAAAGAAACTTGATTGGAACAGATCTGGTGAAAAAATTAACTAGGAACTTTACTAAGATATCAAATGCTCATACAAAGCTCTCCCCTCGTTTTTACAGCTCTAAGTATTTTAAACCAAAAATACCACTTGAAGCAAGGTGTTCTTCAGTGCAGAGATTATATAATCATCCAAAATTTCTAAGCGCTAAAAGGAATTTCATAATCTAGACAAAAATGGAAAATCAGCATGAGCTGTTGCTACCTTCCCTCTCACTTCTCCCCACTCATTATAATTTATATCTAGATGTTCCTCTAAAACCGTATGTGCTCATAGATGGGGCTTTTTGAAGGTAACTGGATCATGGGAGTGTGATCATGGCAGTTTATAGCTAAGTGTGATGTTGGGAGGTGACACCTGGTCACAGGAGGTGTGTCACTGAAGGTGTGGCCTGGAAGGGTCTACCTCCTTCTTTCCTCTCATGATCCCGCTCTCTGCTTCCTGCTGCCATGCCATGAGTTATTTCTCCTCTGTCATGCCACCATGACTTAGAACTAGCCAATTATGGACTGAAACCTCTACAAAATATGAGCCAAAATAAATGTCTCCTCTTTTACCTTGTAGATGTTGGGTATTTTATCTCAGCAACAAGAAAGTAACTAAGACACCCATTAACCTTAAAAATGTTTCAAGCTAAAGGTGTAGGGAAGGTAGGATCGGTAGGGGAAGGGTAATAAGGGAAAAGAAAAAAATGTGAGATAATGAAAAGATGAAAATAAAGTGTTTGTAGATGGGGAGGGGAGGAGGGGGTGAAGGGAGGGCAGAGGGGTAAGGGGAAAAAATGAGAATCAAGACTTGTCATGTAGAGGTACAAGATCCCAACAATGAATGTAACTGTACTGTATCCCTAAAATGTACCAATAAACTCAATTAAAGCTGGAAAAAAAATGCTTCAGAAACCTGAGAAAGGATAACGGATTCTATTACCCAATATAACTCTCCTCTCTCTTCTCCCCCTACTCCCCTCTTCTTTGTTTCTGGGTCCCTCCTTCTCCCTGCCACTTATTTCCCCGTACCACCACTGAGGATTGAACCCAGGGCCTTCACAGTGAACTACATCCCCAGTCTTTTTTTATTTTGATACAGGGTCTTGCTAAGCTGCAAAATTGCCCAGGATGGGCTCTAAATTTTTATCTTTTTGCCTTAGCCTTCCAGACTGCTGGAATTACAGGCCTGCTGAAATTACAGGCCTGCTGCCATGCCTGGCTATGAGACTTTATCTTCTAGGTTTCAGTTTACTGTTCTGTTAAATGGAAGTAAAAATAATACCTATATCATGAATCAGATACCACAAGAACTAGGACATGGCATAGCTCAATAAATATTTTCTACTACTGTTATTCTGGTACTAACTGTACCAGAACTATGCTTCATTCCTTAAGCAAAAAACAGGGTAAGTTCTCTCTCCTCAGTATATGTGTCACATTTAATTATTCCATATCTAATGTAGCAGTTTGTATCCTAAATCCATCATGAAAAAGTTCAGCCTTTATTTACAGACATTCTTGTCCATAAACCTACTTTCTGGGAAGATGGATTTTCAGTCTGTTTTTCTCTTCAAATGTATCCTATCTTCCCTCTGCCCACCACCAATGAGACTTCTTTCAAAAGATTTTTATCCCACCTGTGTGAATTTACTCAGAAAATATAGTTGCCTCAGTATAGCTCTGACTTTATAAAAAAGCCACTATTTTATTATAGTACAAAATAAGTAAACAGAAATGATCAAGTAACTAAGAAGTTGGTAATTTATCTCATAGGTTAGAAGAGGTCTTAAGGAAATCTGAATTGGAAAATATGGTTGGAACTATGGTTTAGGAAAATTAACCTGTATACAAGATTGAATGGAAGACTGATTAACTGTGAGACTCCTACAGTCACTTTTACCTTGATATAACCTAGGCACAAACGGCTGTGTCAATAAAAACTGAAGAATCAATCATAAATAAGATGCTTCCCTGTGAGAAGTATGTGGGCCCTGAGACCCAGTAGGGGACTATCAGAGCCTTTCTGCACATGTTCAGTCTTAAGAGTATATAGTGTTGAGCCAAAAATTCAAATATCCTGCTACTCTCTGCATATATTTACTTTTATCCTACTTCCTAACATATGGAATTGAACTTGAATAAATTAAGTACACATATAATGTGACTTCACTACTTTTTTCTCTACATATTATATTTTGTTGCCTTTACTTATTCTCATATCTGTGGAAATCCTATACAATCCCACCTAGCCCAGATGTTTTTTTTTTCTTCTCTTGTGAAGCTTTTCTTGTTCATTCTTGTAAGAATATACACGTTACAAAGTACGTTACATAAATATACATAATATGTTAAGAAACTGAGTATCTATAAAAAACAGAACAGTTAAAAATAGTACTTCACCTATGGGCTACTACATTCATCATATGCTTTGTTTTATTAATCTCTTCAGTAGTTCCTGAATACTGAAATGAATTAATAAACTGGACCCCAAAATTAAAAAAACATTTCTACACAGTGATTTCACTCTAAGCTCTACTTTTACTTTGCTATTCAATTTCATGTTCTAAAGTATTTAGTGGATTTTCACAATTGTGTTACTAAATTATGCTTCATAAGATGCTCTCTTCTCATCTGTCATAAAAGTAACTTTAACACAATTTAAATCATCCAAAGAAATAAGCAAAAAATTCTAACCTTTCCAAAAGGCTTATACTAAGACACACTTGGCCCACCGTTTTTTTGTAGGCAAACAGTTAGGAAATCATATATTCTAGTGCTTAATTATTATATTGTGAGTGTTTTATAATGTTTCAAGAAGTATGGCAGATTTCTAAGACACATGTAAAAGAAGCAGAAAGGTATGTAACAGTTATGTTTTTGAAACTGCACTTCAAATTTATAGCTAGTATCTTGCTTTTAGCACTCATAAGTATTAGTATCAATAAAATATTTACCAAATGTCAACTTTAAACACGTCTTATTACATTAACATTAATCAAATATTTACTGAATACTAATTTTAAAGCAACTTATTTTCAAACAAAGCTAAAAAAATGGGGGACAGGACTTGGAATTCTACAAACAACTTTCCAGAGGAAAAGTACTTTAAAGTTTCCTGTGAATATAATGTAGAAAGTGATAAAAGAATAATCTTAGCCAATCTTAATTGTAAAAACTTCAAAACAAGCCCCAAATTATAATTACTATATTGTTCTAAACTGCCTACTCCCTAATAATAATACACATTGGACACAAACATATAAACACTGAATACTGAAATATTCTGTCACCTATAAAGCATGAGTATATAAATTGTTTTAAAAATAGAACTTACCTTAAATAGTGTTACAGTGATTTCAATGTTTTCAGGAACAGGCCATACAACAACACCACGGTATGGATTTTTTATTCCAGGTTGCCAGCTGTGAGCCTATCAGAATAAAAATGAGAGCATCAATAGGAATTGCAAGAAATGCAATGTTAATAACTTAACAAAAGTCTATTAACATTACTTATCCATTCACTAAAAGAAAAATGACCAGTCAAATAAAACCTTTCAAGCATTGAGCTAGGGCCATGACAGTTGTATCACTTAAGAGCTACTATAGGTTACTGTCTATAAATAAGCTTTCACTCCCATTAACACACACATGCAAAAATGAAGTATCTCATGTTTTCAAAAGCTACTATTTTTCATTAGATAAAAATTTTATCAGGAGAAATATTTTTAAAATTATTTTTGTGATTAAGAACTTTAAGGCAAATCATTAAGAAAAATTTAGTATAGTGTTATATGCCCCCAACCCCGCCGCCGCCCCAGCTACTGCAGAGGCTAAGGCAAGAGGAATGCTTAAACCCAAGAGTCTGAGGCCAGAGAAAGAAAGAAGAGGGAGAGAGAATTGGTGGGGGCGGGGGGATGATTCACACGTAGTATGTTAGATGGAGGTTAAGAGTCACAGAGAAGGGTGAGGGGCAAGAGAAAGTAATATTTTCCAATAGAGTAGCCAAGGAAAGCATCTGAGATGATGACGAGAAGGATGTAAGATGAAGAAAGCAGATCTGTAAGTATGTTAGAAGAGTATTCTAGGGAGAAAGAGGAGCCAATGCTGTTGAGGCACTTAGAGACAAAAAGAATGAAGGACACATGGCTACAGCTGAGTGATCAAGAGAAGAAAGTAAGGGCTGAGGATTTAGCTCAGTGTTTCTGGTACCTACCTTGCAAGCTCAAGGACCTGAGTTCGATCCCTGGTACCAAAAAAAAGAGAAGAAAGCAAGAAAGGAGGCCAGAGAAATACATAATGAAGGCCCCAAACATGTAAGGTCTGGGTAGGCCACTGCAAAGATACTAGCTGCTACTCTGAACAAGACAGGAAGATATAAGAAGTTTTTAAGTAAAACAAAAATGATCTAAGCTTTGTTTCAACAAATTCACTGTGGCTACTGTGCCCAGAATAGACTCAAGACATAGAACAGAAACAAAAGGAGAACAATAAAGAAGCGACTGCAATAATCCAAGGGGGAAGCTGTGGTGATGTGGCCTGGATGTGGTCAGATTCTGGGTATACACAGGTAGAGTCAAAAAAATTTGCTGTTTGTTGCACAAGAGAAATTAAGTAGCTAAGGCTGATTCTAAAGTTTCTGAGTAACTAGAAGAAAGAAATTACATTAGTATATATGATATAAGACAACAGAAGAGATGTTTGGGAAATAAGGAACTCAGTTTTCTACACATTAAATCTGAGTTTCCTTTTAAATATACAAGTATAGATGTTCCAGTAGACAGCTGGATGTATGTATCTATGGTCATAAACTTAAGAATTATCAGGATATAGGTGATATTTAAAGTTTAAGAGTAGAGCCGGGGTTTTGCTTAGCGGTTGGGTGGCCTACCTCGCAAGCACAAGGACCCGAGTTTGATCCCCAGTACCAAAAAAAAAGTTTGAGAGTGGATGTGGTTCTACAGAATAAATTCAGGAAGAGAACAAAGGCCCAAGGACTGAGACTTTGAGTACAATAATAATAAGGAAAAAAAGAATCAACAAAGGTGTCAGTGAAATAAAAGAAAAGCCAGGAGTTTGTGAAACCCTTGAAGTCTAGTGTGTTAAAATATTTTAAGGAGGGGCCAGCTAGCCCAGCCCTCCCCTGCTGGGCTGCCACCACCATCGCCCCAGTGCCAGGAGGGCCTGCTTGGACCCAGACCTGGGGGTGGCTAGCCCCGCCCTCCCCTGCCAGGCCACCACCATCGCTACAGCACCAGGAAGGTAGCTGCACGGGTGCCCCCGAAACAACCCCTGACCTCTCAGACCTCCTGATTGTGCCAGTCTTTGGACCTACTCTGCAGAGGCAGAGGTGGTCATAAAGGGTATTTTTCTGAGTTCCCAACTTTGAACATCTTTAAAGAAAGGGCGCAGGAAACCTGTAGTAGAACTGTGTGGAGTTCAACCATTCAGGAGGTCGGGGAACTCAATCTGGGCAGTGCAGCCCAAGGTCAGTCTGCATCACGGGGTTCTGCATTCAGCTAGCTGAGATGAGGGGTCTTGCGTCTTAGCTCCATCTGAGCCCCCATCCTAAATGGTAAATATACTATATTGAAAAGTTTGTTCACTGCAGACATATTTTGGACTGCTTCTTGATTTCAATTTAATTCACTTGGTTTAAGGGTGATAGACTAGTGACTACCACAGGTGTTCAGTTTCCAAGTTGTGCTCAATCATATTATGTTGCTGATTGTATCAGTTGGGATAAATGATTGTGGTTGATTTGATGAGCTGTTTTCTCTGATATTATGAAGATGAGAATGTCTATGGGTCATGAGAGACCCAGAAGCTAGAGCACAACTATATTAGGAAGATTTGGGTGATAACCCAGAGATTAAATCAAGGACAGCCCAACAACAAAAATAAAAATGAGAAAACACTTAAGCAAGACACAAAGACAGACTTCCAGTTCACCAATGGCAAACAGTACGGCAAATGAGGATGAAAAGGCTGATCGTGAACCACCAGTACAACCTGAACTCAAAGCACAGGAAGTAACAAAACAGATCCATCAGGCTCTAGAAAAATTCAAAACAAAAATAATTTCCCAGATAACCATAGAGATGGTGAGCAAAATGAAAGTCACGAGTCAAGACTCTAGAAAAGAAACTAACAAAACAAAACAAAACAAAACAAAAAATAGATGAGCTCAGGACCATAATAGAAGCCATGAAGACCCAGCATAAGAAAGAAATGGAAACAATAAATGCCCAACATAGGAAAGAAATGGAATCCATAAAACAGATTCAAACAGATATCCAGGAGATTAAACACTCCACTGAAAGTATTTGCAACAGAATAAAAGAATGCAAAGATACATCTCAGATATAGAAGAGAAGATTGCAGTCAGTGACCGTGAAAAGAGAGGTCTCTTAAAAACAGTAGGGGATCATGAGAAATCGATCCAACAACTCCTAGATGATGCAAAGAAGAATAACATAAGACTGATGGGAACACATGAAGTAGCAGGAGAAAATGCAAATGACTTGAAAGAGCTGTTTACAGAATTAATGACAGAAAACTTCCCAAACAGAGGGGAAGAATCTGACATTCAGATAACTGAGGCATATAGGACCCCAACTAGCCACAATCAAAAACAAATCTACACCTAGACATATAATAATCAACATCCCAGAAACCCAACAGAAGAACAAAATACTACAAGCAGTATGAGAAAAGAAACAAGTAACATGCAAAGGAAAGCCCATCAGAATCAAAGCAGACTTCTCAACACAAACCCTTAGGTCAAGTAGAGCCTGGAGTGAGGTATTTCAAGTCCTAAAAGAAAACCACCTCCAACCTAGACTGATGTATCCTGCAAAACTCTCTTTCAAAATGGATGGGGAAATAAGATACTTCCATGACAAAGAACACCTGAGAAACTACATGAATACCAAACCAGCACTACAAGCAATTCTAAACAATATCCTAGAAAAAGACAATGAAGGTAACAACACCATGAGGCCCAACAGAGCAAATCAAATAGGCAAGGCAATAAACTAAAAGGAAAAGGCGAAAAAGTAAAAAGAGTCAACAAAAGGACAATAACATGACAATAATAAGTCAGTACATATCAGTTATAACCATCAATGTCAATGGCCTCAAATCACCAATCAAGAGAAACAACTCACCAATAATGAGAAAGAGACTGGCACAATGGATTAAGAAGGAAAATCCAAGGACTGGGGATTTAGCTCAGTGGTTCTACCACCAGCCTTGCAAGCACAAGGACCCGAGTTTGATCCCAGGTACCAAAAAAAAAAAAAAAAAAAAAAAAAAAGCAAAATGCAACAAAATGTTGTATACAAGAAATGCACCTAGTGCAAAAAGAAGCCCATAGACTGAAAGTGAAAGGATGGAAAACAATTCTCCATTGACAGGAGCACAGGAAAAAGCAGGGGTAGCAATCTTATTTGCAGACAAAGTAAATTTCAAACCAAAACTAATTAAAAAAGACAAAGAAGGCCACTACATCCTTGTAAAGGGAACAATTCAAGAAGAGATGACAATCATAAACATATATGCACTAAATATTAACGTGCCCAACTATATAAAAAATATTAAGAAACATGAAAAACAAAATAAGCACTAATACAATAGTGGGGGATCTTAATACTCCACTTTCACAAATAGACAGATCATCTACGCAAAAAATCAACAACAAAATCCTAGAATTGAACAAAGCTTTTGAAAACATGGACTTAATAGACACCTATAGAGTGTTCCACCCCACAAAATCAGAATATGAATTCTTTTCTGCTGCACATGGGTCATTCTCCAAGATAGATCACATATTAGCTCACAGAACAGGTTTGCATAAATGCAAAAGAATTGAAGTTATTCCCTGTATATTATCAGATCATAGTGCAATCAAGCTGGAGATCAACAGCACGAGAAACCATAGGAACTTCACAAACACATGGAAATTGAACAACACTCTCCTGAACAATCAATGGATCACAGAGGAAATTAAAGAAGAAATCAGACAGTTTTTACAAATAAATGAAAATGCCAATACAACATATAGGAATTTTGGGAACACAATGAAAGTAGTTCTGCATGGAAAATTCATAGCACTGAATGCCCACACTAGGAAAACAGAGCGAGTGCAAATAAACAACCTAATGATGAATGTTAGACTCCTAGAAAAACAAAAGTAAGAAAAACCCAAAACTCGAACAAGACAGGAAATTATAAAGATAAGAGCAGAAATCAATGCAGTGGAAACTAAGAAAACAATACAAAAAATAAATGAATGGAAGAGTTGTTTTTTTTGAAAGAATAAATAAAATTAATAAACCCTTAGCTAACCTTATCAAAAAAAAGAAAGAAAAGGCTCAGATCCATGCATTTAGGAATGAAAAAGGTGAAGTCACAACAGATCCAACAGAAA